ACAGGTCTTGGACTCGACCCCTGCAATCTTAACTAGGTGAGTGACAACCACACACACACACACACACACACACATCAGCGAAAACAATCAATTCTAACCACACAATAGAGAAAAAAACTAATGTGAAAGACCTGGGAGTGATAATATCAGAGGATCTTACCTTCAAAGACCACAACAATGTACCTACCCCATCTGCTAGAAAAAATGATAGGATGGATATGAGAACCTTCAAAACTATGGACACCAAGCCCGTGATGATTCTCTTCAAATCATTTGTTCTCTTTAGGCTGGAATACTGCTGTACACTAACTGTCCCCTTCAAGGCAGGCGAAATTGCTAACCTGCAGAGTGTACAGAGAACTTTCACGGCACGCATAAGTATGATGAATTACCTAATTTACTGGGAACGGTTGAAGTCCCTTGATTTATATTCCCTGGAACGCAGGCGAGAAAGATACATTAAATATGCACTTGGAAAATTCTAGAGGGATTAGTACCAAAATTGCTTACGAAAATCACCCTGCGAAAGCAAAAACTCTGCAGGAGATGCGACATTCCCCCAGTGATAAGCACTAAGAGACACAAACAAGTGTCAGGGGTCCAAGACTGTTCATCTGCCTCCCAGCATATAAACGAGGGATTACCAATAAACCCCTGGCTGTCTTCAAGAAGGCGCTGTACAGGCACCTAAAGTCAGTACCTGATCAGCCGGGCTGTGGTTCTTACGTCAGTTTACGTGCGGCCAGCAGTAACAGCCTGGTTCATCAGATCCTGGTCCACCACGAGGCCTGGTCTCAGACTGGGCCGCTGGGACGTTGACTCCAAAACCCTCTCGAGTATACACTACCGGAGCTTACCGTAAGTTAGTATGGTCACAAACACCTGTGTTATTCTATTCCTAAGGTGGGAAATCTGGTTTCATGTTTTTTAAATTAGTTCGTCAAAGCATCAAGGAATTCCTATAATGGCGAGTGGTTTGATTTAACATTGGTCTGTGCATCCAAAACAACCAATTGAAACCTAATGCGTTCCACATACTCCCACACTGGTGAAATCCTTGGGACGCTTCCCCTTTCCTCTCTAAAATAATTGCAGTCAATATTAACTTTTATTCTTTATTTAAACGAGTGTTGTTTGTGCTTCACAAAGGTTCCTTCACCGTCAGATGGAAATAAGAAATACTTATTTTAATTATTGTGTTATTGTTACCATTCAGGTGCGTCTGTCCCAAGCTGCTATCAAGACCGCTTAAATAATAATTTTCAAAAGATTAAGTAAAAAATACTGCGTAATGACTTCAGTATACAGTAGTAATTTGTTAGTGTATATATGGTCAGCAGTTATATTGACGAGATCACTGCTGCTCACCCCGTCGTGTGACCCTCTGCCTGATCCCCACCCCCGTCGTGTGACCCTCTGCCTGATCCCCACCCCCGTCGTGTGACCCTCTGCCTGATCCCCACCCCCGTCGTGTGACCCTCTGCCTGATCCCCACCCCGCCGTGTGACCCTCTGCCTGATCCCCACCCCCGTCGTGTGACCCTCTGCCTGATCCCCACCCCCGTCGTGTGACCCTCTGCCTGATCCCCACCCCCGTCGTGTGACCCTCTGCCTGATCCCCACCCCCGTCGTGTGACCCTGCCTGATCCCCACCCCCGTCGTGTGACCCTCTGCCTGATCCCCACCCCCGTCGTGTGACCCTCTGCCTGATCCCCACCCCCGTCGTGTGACCCTCTGCCTGATCCCCACCCCCGTCGTGTGACCCTCTGCCTGATCCCCACCCCCGTCGTGTGACCCTCTGCCTGATCCCCACCCCCGTCGTGTGACCCTCTGCCTGATCCCCACCCCCGTCGTGTGACCCTCTGCCTGATCCCCATCCCCGTCGTGTGACCCTCTGCCTGATCCCCACCCCCGTCGTGTGACCCTCTGCCTGATCCCCACCCCCGTCGTGTGACCCTCTGCCTGATCCCCACCCCCGTCGTGTGACCCTCTGCCTGATCCCCACCCCGTCGTGTGACCCTCTGCCTGATCCCCACCCCCGTCGTGTGACCCTCTGCCTGATCCCCACCCCCGTCGTGTGACCCTCTGCCTGATCCCCACCCCCGTCGTGTGACCCTCTGCCTGATCCCCATCCCCGTCGTGTGACCCTCTGCCTGATCCCCACCCCCGTCGTGTGACCCTCTGCCTGATCCCCACCCCCGTCGTGTGACCCTCTGCCTGATCCCCACCCCCGTCGTGTGACCCTCTGCCTGATCCCACACCCCGTCGTGTGACCCTCTGCCTGATCCCCACCCCCGTCGTGTGACCCTCTGCCTGATCCCCACCCCCGTCGTGTGACCCTCTGCCTGATCCCCACCCCCGTCGTGTGACCCTCTGCCTGATCCCACCCCTCACTTGACCCCTTCCCGGTGTCCTTCATCACCCTTGTTTCACCCTATACACTTCTTTCTTCTTTCCTTCCTTCTCGTGTACTTCTTATCCCCCTGTCTCACCTTTCAGTTGACCCCCCCCCCGCCCCTGCCCCCGTCCCTCCTCCCGTCCCCCTGTCCCTCCCCCTGTCCCTCACTAGCCTTCATCTCCTCACTGACCATTTTACCTCAGGTCTCCCCTCCCCCCCCCCGCGCCTGACTCATATTTAAATAGAAAAACTTTGTTGACAGGATTATTTTATTCATTGCATGATAACGTAATAATAATAATAATAATAATAATAATAATAATAATAATAATAATAATAATAATAATAATAATAATAATAATAATAATAATAATAATATTTCGTTTACTTGTTTGAGAATCATGTGTTTACTTACTGTCGATTTAGAAATTTTTTTTCTCAAACTATAATATTAATTTCTAATTTTATGTGCATAATTGTATTAAACAGAAAATTGTTACGAATCATTTTTTCCTTATTTTTATGCTGCTCTATTAGACTAAGTTATTACAATTTATGTCATATTTGAAAACAAAGAATTGTTACGATCTAAAACTTTGATTTCTTTCCTTTAGTATATTTCTACTCTATTACGCAGTCTTTCAATCTATCATCAATTATATTTGGACAAAAAGAAAAACCATTATTTTAAATCTTAAATATCTGATTTATATATTCCCATTTAGTTTTTTGAAGTTTTCCCTCACCACTATTTTCCAACAGGTTCATTTGAAGCATTAGTCCATTCATAGAAACCCAACAATAAAGGGATATAACCATTTTTTAAATCACTTACAATTAGTCACATCAGTAATTTTATGGGGGTACCACTGTTAACATAATATTTTTATACTCAGAAGTATATTATCAATCAGTATTGACAATTTATATTGCCCAAAAAACATGTGAAAGAATTAGCACTTTCGACTACTCAACATACACGTACAAAAACCTTACATAAATACACTTCATAATGTGTCACATTCGGAGGTAATCGTTATGCGGGTCCACTGTATATATATATATATATATATATATAATATATATATATATATATATATATATCAATATATATATATATATATATATGCAAAAAAAACATGTGAAAATTCCAAGCACTTTCGTGACTACTCACATTATCAAGGAACAATGATAATGTTCCTTGATAATGTGAGTAGTCACGAAAGCGCTTGGAATTCTTTTACAGTGGTTGTTTTGCATATTCTGAAATCACCTGTTTACTGTGATCTTATTGCATATATATATATATTATATATATATATATATATATATATATATATATATATATATATATATATATACACTTACCTATATTTACCTGTAACACCTTTACCATCAACGTACCTACTTGTCTGCTTGATACCCCGGTCACCATAAGATAAGATAAGATTTCGTTCGGATTTTTAACCCCGGAGGGTTAGCCACCCAGGATAACCCAAGAAAGTCAGTGCGTCATCGAGGACTGTCTAACTTATTTCCATTGGGGTCCTTAATCTTGTCCCCCAGGATGCGACCCACACCAGTCGACTAACACCCAGGTACCTATTTGCTGCTAGGTGAACAGGACAACAGGTGTAAGGAAACGTGTCGCATGTTTCCACCCGCCGGGAATCGAACCCGGGCCCTCCGTGTGTGAAGCGGGAGCTTTAGCCACCAGGCCACCTGTCACCTCTGCGTTATTCCTGGAGCACAGTGGATAAGCTTACACTTTCCAGCCTAACACCTTTATTCTTATTAATATTGATGATTAATAATAATAATAATAATAATAATAATAATAATAATAATAATAATAATAATAATATTATTATTATTATTATTATTATTATTATTATTATTATTATTATTATTATTATTATTATTATTTTATTAACACATCTGCCGTTTCCCACCAAGGCAGGGTGACCCGATAAAGAAAAACTTTCATCATTATTCACTCCATCACTGTCTTGCCAGAGGCGCGTCTACACTACAGTTATAAAACTGCAATATTAACACCCCTCCCTGTATTCATGGGAAGAGCTGAGCCTGTTACGGTCATGCTGGACTTTGGAAATAGGAAGGTTTGATCCGAGGAAGGGTAGATTTTAGTCACCGAATAACGAGGCCTTCACTAATGTCAATACACCCCAGAATTTTAATCATCAGGTAGCCTACTTCTTTCTCCATTATTTACCATCTATTTATTTTAGCCTCTTCAATGCTCCCTTTAAGATGATTATAAATCTTCTCATATTCTTCTCTCGTAAGATGTATTTTCCTCCTAGCCTCTTCGAGCTCCCTTCATCTGATGACGATGTTGTTCTAGGCTCATGGAGGACATAGGTACCCAAGCACCACTAACCGGCAGTGTAGTTGTAAATGTCTAGAACAAACTTCCAAGCAGTGTTAATGTTATGTTCTTGTGCGGACTTTTTTTTCGTTAGAATAACACCTATTGGCCCATGTTATGTAGATCCTACTCAAACCATACCATTTCATTCACACTTACGCTTTTTCTTGCTGAATTCCTGTTTCTTATAAAGATGTTTTCCTTCCCTTAGGATGGCACCGCGTCGGCAGCCTCGATCACTTTACCAGCAGTGTGTGAGTCACCTCTCCCACTTCCTGGATGGCTTATGTGCTACTCACATCCACGCCCCTGATCACCCGGAGCTCATAGCCGTGGCCTCCTACTTCGATTCCCTCCTTCCTATGCCCCTCCAAGCCTCCGTAGGTTAGTTCAATCTCATCCTAATTGTTAACACCAACATCAAGCTGTTTTCTAGAGGGTTTAATTCATATGTCAGAGAAATTATTCAAGATTCTTTCAACTACAGTGGAACCTCGGTACTTGAACAGCTCCGTACTCGAACAATTTGGTACTTGAACGCTTTGTTCGGTAAAAAATCGATCGGTAGTCGACTGTTTGCTCGGCACTCGACCAAACAAACGCGACCTGCCAGAACTAGTGTGTCAGTCTCCCCTCAGCTGTCGCTCAGTCCAAAACGCCACTGAACTTCACTGTAAACTATTTCGTGTTTCTTCGCATTTTTTGGGTGTTTTTTTTTTTAATATTATTTATATAAATAAGTCACCCTGGGGCCTAAGAAGATTAGTGATAAGAGTCAACCAAAAAGAAAATTGGTTAGTGTGTGTTTGCCCTGATGTAAACACAGCCTCTGCCTCTCCATATAATATGCCTTATATTAATATCGGCATCTTTATTGTGCTTCTAGGTTATCTATCATGTTTCTCATATCAAGTTGGAATAAATGTGACAGATATATACCTTTATTACTAATATTAGCGTAATTACACAACATTGTATTCGCGCCACCGTTAGCATCTGGCTATCAAGACGACTGATCAGATACTGAATGCTCCTTCTGCTAGCCCCTCCCTCTCTCTCCTATAGCTCCTCCCACTTCGGACCCCTCTTATATTACGTTTGCTTTTCATTTTGAATTTTTATTCACATAAAAAATGGAAGATTTACTGTTATGCAGACTACTGCATTGTTGAAAAAATGGTATAAATAATATCAGCGCATTTGTGACAGCATATTATACCCACCAGTTGACGTGTATTGGACTTGTGACGTGATTTATTTCCTCTTGAATATCAAAAAACGAACATTTCCGCTTACTTTGAGCTCAATTTCAAGGTACTTTTACTCTGTAAACCATTCAAAATCATCTCTATTTCTGTAACAAATCTTTCATTCTATCAAATGAGAACAAGAAAACGAGAATACAATCATAAATACCATACGAAAATACACCGCAAAGTCGCTGTAAGTGTATTTTTGGGAGTCTGAAACGGATTAATCAAATTTACATTATTCCTTATGGGAAAAATTCGTTCGGTTACTCGAACAGATCGGCACTCGAACAGCCTTCTGGAACGAATTAAGTTCGAGTACCGAGGTTCCACTGTAATCTTTTATTTTTGCAAGAGCTTACTTTATCCACCTTTTAAAATATATGAACAGATAAGCTTGATCAAATAAGTATATTTCAGTCTTTTAAGTAGCTTAATTATAACCAAAATAACCTGATTTAGACTAATTTAGAGTCTGTCGAAAGAGATTAATAGAGAATTGCAGCATTTGCAGTCATCCTTGATTAAAAAAAAGTCACTTAGTAAATGATTTATTTATCTGACTAATAAATTCAGAGCATTAATGAAACTGTGTTTTGTATTCATTTACATTCGTAAATAATAGCGTTGAGCATTCTTATCTAAACTGTTTCTGTATAGTAAAAGTTACGTAAAGGGGTCATTTTCTTTCTGTTTAAAGTAATAAGGTCGTGACCGTAATGGTCGTCAAAAAATGCTTTTGAATATGTACCCCTATGGGCTTAGCGCTTCCCCTGAATATGACAATTTTATAATTTCTGATATATAGTGGTTTTGTAGCCTCTTATTCCATTTTCTGCATTCCACTAATTATATTTTCTGTGATGCTTTAGGTGAGGCTCTACTGGCCATCAGTGAGAGGCTTCAGATTACTCCGTCACCATCGCACGTGCGGCTCCTCCTGCGACTGCGGGTGCGTCGTCTCTCCACCAGCGGCTCTGTTGTCCAGTCGGGTGTACTGGAGACCGCTGATGGAAGCTGTCTGGAAAATCTGTCTCTTTTCTACGGCGGGTGCGGCGACAGAGCCACCAAACTATACACCTTCCTTCACACCGCCACCAACCTCACCTACCTCAGCTGCACCGATTTCTGCAACAACCACATGATCGACATCGTGGCTAGGACATGCGAGCATCTTTATTGCATCGACCTGCGAGGCTGCTACGACGTCAACGACGACGGCGTCTTGCGTTTATGCGGACTTCAAGACGGACTTAGGGCTAACATCGAAGTGCTTAGCAAAGGAGGGATCCTGGAGCCTGTCTCGCGCTGCGCTCGATCTCTCAAAGAGATAAAGTTCTCCATGACAAAAGTAACCGAGGCAGGTGTGGCTGTCATCTTGCTTGTCTTCACCAACATAGAGATTCTTCGTGTACCAGACATCAAGATGGAAAAGGTGTTTAACTTCCTTCAAACTCTCGACCACAAAAATGTTCAGTGTAACTTAAAAGAATTCCATTCCCGTGAAATCCTAAATGAATTCCAATTAACTGTGTTGGCTAGTCTCTGCCCCAACCTGGAATATATCCAAGTCTCCTTCATTGGTAACTCCGAGATGGACTTATCACGGTTGCAGCAGCTTGCGCGTCTCCAGAAGTTGAAGAGAGCTAAATTTGCAGATGTAAACTGCGACGCACTGGTGTGGTTCCTGCAACAGGTGGGCAACAGAATGACGCACCTCTTCCTGTACACTTACCACACACGCTTCTCTCAACAGAAGCTGAGCATCACTCGCAATCATTTGCAGTGTCTCGCTAAGTTCTGTCCTTGTCTTGAGAGCCTTTGCCTGGATGGTTACTTGCTAGGGGAAGATATCCCGTACCGCCTGGCACCAGAAAACATGCAATACTTTGAGGCCCTGCGCTCCTTGCAAGTCGCCTCCATGAAGCTCTCCGAAGACGACCTTAATGTGTTCTTGAAAAAATGCCAGAACATGAGGATACTTGAACTGGTGCTGCAGAACCCCCACGTCCTCTATGACCGACTCATCTGCGAACTTCTTGACGCCGGCGTGTGGCAGAACCTGATCAAGATCAGAGTACTGAACTCCCCACTCACAAGCAAGGTCATGAACAGGCTGGTGAGAGAGTGTCCTCTGCTGCAGGAGGTCGGCTGCCTCTACACCTGGCTAGTATCCAAAGAACAAGTTTCTGAATTCAAAGAAAGCATCAAGCATCAGAATTTTGACATAGAAATATACTGAGGACTATTTATGTTTTTTTCTTATTTATTGTTAAATGCACATAAGACAAATGTGTGTTTCTGTCACTTAACAGAGCCCGTTGTCCCGGTCACCTGTGGGCCTTATTTTGTCTTTGGGACATGTTTGTGAACGCAGCGAACGCAGTTGGCTCTGTAAAATGTTGCGACATATCTGAGCTGTGTGGAGATACTGAGCCTGACACCCACCCACAAACTCGCAGGATCTGTGTCCAGTGGAATGTATTCTTTTTGCTCCATGGTGGGCACTAAAATAGTATGCCATTATGCCTGAAAGCGACACGTAATGCACTCTTCATTAACTTTTGAGAACAAATTACTGTTTTTGAACTAACAGACATACAATAGTGACCTGATAAATGCTTTAATATTTACTCAAGAGAATGTTATATATCTGTATATTTTATACTTTCGTTTTTCCTTGCGACCTGGTTCTGCAAGATCCCACATTCTTACATGAAACTAAATCCTTCATATTTTGCTATGTTCCCGACTTCAGTATTTAGAGGATTGCCAGATTTTAATTGGTGGTGTGCCAAGCTTGCCAGCTCACTTTCCCATCCTAAACAGCCTGACGGGAAGAGGCTGCCACCTTCTCCTATCCTACACAGTCTGCAAGTGGTACCACAGTAGGGAGGCAGCTCACCTTGCCCCATCTAACGCAGCCTGCAGGTGGCACCACAGCAAGCAGGATGCAGCTGTTCATGTTGGCGCTCATTACAACAATGATCGCTTTCTTGGAAGTTTTAAAGATAATGGGAAATTTAGGATGCCTTGCCGAGTTTCATTTTATTTTTGTTGGCAGCTGCGGTGATGTCAGTGGCCTCGTTGTCTCGTTCTCACGCCACATGGACAAAAGTGATATCGAACTTGTGATTGCAGTACAGAACGTATATTATTACAATTTACAAGAACAATAATTAGTATAAATCAAAACAAATTAGAACCTGATGGACAGTATCTGCTTTTCATTAGCAGCAAACACAATACTTGTGTTATATTGTTGTTTGATAATCACTTCAAAATAGTGTTGGCACCTGAAGTTTGCTGTAGCTTCTTAAACAAACAATTTAAAAGACATTTTAATGGAAATGTTGCAAAAGATGAAGAGTAATGAGCTTAAATTATGAATCTCATTGAGCAGTGTTCGAGAAGACGAATCAGTGGAAGTGTTTTTACAGAATATTTATCATTATGATAAATAAAATGTTGTTCTGCCTTAACAATATATATGTTGCAGGTTTACTGGTGATCAGACTGCTGATGGTTTACTGGTGATCAGACTGCTGATGGTTTACTGGTGATCAGACTGCTGATGGTTTACTGGCGATCAGACTGCTGATGGTTTACTGGCGATCAGACTGCTGATGGTTTACTGGCGATCAGACTGCTGATGGTGTACTGGTGATCAGAGACTGCTGATGGTTTACTGGCGATCAGACTGCTGATGGTTTACTTGTGATCAGACTGCTGATGGTTTACTTGTGATCAGAGACTGCTGATGGTTTACTGGCGATCAGACTGCTGATGGTTTACTGGCGATCAGACTGCTGATGGTTTACTGGCGATCAGACTGCTGATGGTTTACTTGTGATCAGACTGCTGATGGTTTACTTGTGATCAGAGACTGCTGATGGTTTACTGGTGATCAGAGACTCCTGATGGTTTACTGGCGATCAGACTGCTGATGGTTTACTTGTGATCAGACTGCTGATGGTTTACTTGTGATCAGAGACTGCTGATGGTTTACTGGTGATCAGACTGCTGATGGTTTACTTGTGATCAGACTGCTGATGGTTTACTGGTGATCAGAGACTGTTGATGGTTTACTTGGTGAAACAGAGACTCTGATGGTTTACTGGCGATCAAAACTGCTGATGGTTTACTTGTGATCAGACTGTGATGGTTTACTTGTGATCAGAGACTGTGAAAGGTTTACTGGTGATCAGATGCTGATGGTTTTCTTGTGATCAGACTGCTGATGGTTTACTTGTGATCAGAGACTGCTGATGGTGTACTGGTGATCAGAGACTGCTGATGGTGTACTGGCGATCAAAAACTGCTGATGGTTTACTGGTGATCAGACTGCTGATGGTTTACTGGTGATCAGAGACTGCTGATGGTTTACTGGTGATCAGAGACTGCTGATGGTTTACTGGCGATCAGAAACTGCTGATGGTTTACTGGTGATCAGACTGCTGATGGTTTACTGGTGATCAGAGACTGCTGATGGTGTACTGGTGATCAGAGACTGCTGATGGTTTACTTGTGATCAGACTGCTGATGGTTTACTTGTGATCAGACTGCTGATGGTTTACTTGTGATCAGACTGCTGATGGTTTACTGGTGATCAGACTGCTGATGGTGTACTGGTGATCAGAGACTGCTGATGGTTTACTGGTGATCAGATTGCTGATGGTTTACTTGTGATCAGATTGCTGATGGTTTACTGGTGATCAGAGACTGTTGATGGTTTACTGGTGATCAGACTGCTGATGGTGTACTGGTGATCAGAGACTGTGGATGGTTTACTGGTGATCAGAGACTGCTGATGGTTTACTGGTGATCAGACTGCTGGTGGTTTACTGGTGATCAGAGACTGTTGATGGTTTACTTGTGATCAGAGACTGCTGATGGTGTACTGGTGATCAGACTTCTGATGGTTTACTTGTGATCAGAGACTGCTGATGGTGTACTGGTGATCAGACTGCTGACTGTTTACTGGTGATCAGAGACTGTTGATGGTTTACTGGTGATCAGTGACTGTTGATGGTTTACTGGTGATCAGTGACTGCTGATGGTTTACTTGTGATCAGTGATGTTGATGGTTTACTTGGATCAGGACTGCGATGGTTTTCGGTGATCAGGACTGCTGATGGTTTACTTGTGATCAGTGACTGCTTATGGTTTACGGTGATCATGACTGTTGATGGTTTACTGGTGATTTAGTGACTGTTGATTGGTTTACTGGGGATCAGTGACTGCTGATGGTTTACTTGTGATCAGGACTGTTGATGGTTTATTTGGGGATCAGTGACTATGTGGTTTACTGGTGATCAGGACTGTGATGGTTTACTGGTGATCAGTGACTGCTGATGGTTTACTTGTGATCAGTGACTGTTGATGGTTTACTGGTGATCAGTGACTGTTGATGGTTTACTGGTGATCAGTGACTGTTGATGGTTTACTGGTGATCAGTGACTGTTGATGGTTTACTGGTGATCAGTGACTGTTGATGGTTTACTGGTGATCAGATACTGTTGATGGTTTACTGGTGATCAGTGACTGTTGATGGTTTACTGGTGATCAGAGACTGTTGATGGTTTACTGGTGATCAGTGACTGTTGATGGTTTACTGGTGATCAGTGACTGTTGATGGTTTACTGGTGATCAGTGACTGTGATGGTTTACTGGTGATCAGTAGACTGTTGATGGTTTACTGGTGATCAAGACTTCTGATGGTTTACTGGTGATCATGACTGTGATGGTTACTTGTGTCAGGGACTGTTGATGGTTTTACGGTGATCACTGGGCTGTTGATGGTTTACTGGTGATCAGAGACTGTTGATGGTTTTTACTGGTGATCAGTGACTGCTGATGGTTTTTCTGGTGATCAGTGACTGTTGATGGTTTACTTGTGATCAGAGACTGCTGATGGTTTTCTTGTGATCAGTGACTGTGATGGTTTACTTGTGATCAAGACTGTGATGGGTTTACTTGTGATCAGTGACTGCTGATGGTTTACTTGTGAACAGTGATGTTGATGGTTTAACTGGGGACAGTGACTGTTGATGGTTTTACTGGTGATCGTGACTGTTGATGGTTTACTGGTGATCAGTGACTGTTGATGGTTTACTGGTGTCAGTGACTGTTTATGGTTTACTGGGGTCAGAGACTGTTGATGGTTTACTGGTGATCAGACTTCTGATGTTTACTGGTGATCAGGACTGTTGATGGTTTACGGGATCAGACTTCTGATGGTTTTCTGGTGATCAGTGACTGTTGGTGGTTTACTGGTGATCAAAACTTTTGATGGTTTTTCTGGTGATCAGTGGGCTGTTGATGGTTTACTGGTGATCCAGGACTGTTGATGGTTTACTGGTGATCAGAGACTGTTGATGGTTTACTGGGATCAGAGGGGGTTTTTGTGTGAGGTTTATGGTGATCATAGACTGTGAGGTTTACTGGTGATCAGAGATTGCTGATGGTTTTACTGGTGATCAGAGACTGTTGATGGGTTTTCTGGTGATCATGACTGTTGATGGTTTACTGTGATCAGTGACTGTTGATGGTTTACTGTGATCAGTGGGCTGTGATGGTTTACTGGTGACATGACTGTGATGGTTTACCCGTGATCAGTGACTGCTGATGGTTTACTTGTGATCAGGACTGCTGATGGTTTACTTGTGATCAGTGACTGCTGATGGTTTACTTGTGATCAGAGACTGCTGATGGTTTACTTGTGATCAGTGACTGCTGATGGTTTACTTGTGATCAGTGACTGTTGATGGTTTACTGGTGATCAGTGACTGTGATGGTTTACTGGTGATCAGTGATGTTGATGGGTTTTCTGGTGATCAGTGACTGTTTATGGTTTACTGGTGATCAGTGACTGTTTAGGTTTACTGGTGATCAGAGACTGTTGATGGGTTTTCTGGTGATCAGACTCTGATGGGTTTTCTGGTGATCAGTGACTGTTGAGGTTTACTTTTGATCAGTGACTGTTGATGGTTTACTGGTGATCAGTGACTGTTGATGGTTTACTGGTGATCAGAGACTGTTGATGGTTTACTGGTGATCAGTGACTGTTGATGGTTTACTGGTGATCAGACTTCTGATGGTTTACTGGTGATCAGTGACTGTTGATGGTTTACTGGTGATCAGACTTCTGATGGTTTACTGGTGATCAGTGACTGTTGATGGTTTACTGGTGATCAGTGACTGTTGATGGTTTACTGGTGATCAGACTTCTGATGGTTTACTGGTGATCAGTGACTGTTGATGGTTTACTGGTGATCAGAGACTGTTGATGGTTTACTTGTGATCAGAGACTGTTGATGGTTTACTGGTGATCAGAGACTGTTGATGGTTTACTGGTGATCAGTGACTGCTTGATGGTTTACTGGTGATCAGTGACTGTTGATTTGGGTTTTCTGGTGATCAGAGACTGTTGATGGTTTACTGGTGATCAGAGACTGTTGATGGTTTACTGGTGATCAGAGACTGTTGATGGTTTACTGGTGATCAGAGACTGTTGATGGTTTACTGGTGATCAGAGACTGCTGATGGTTTACTGGTGATCAGAGACTGTTGATGGTTTACTGGTATCCCGAGACTGCTGATGGTTTTCTGGTGATCAGTGACTGTTTAGGGTTTAAATGGTGATCAGTGACTGTTGATGGTTTACTGGTGATCAGAGACTGTTGATGGTTTACTGGTGATCATGACTGTTGATGGTTTACATGGTGATCAGTGACTGTTGATGGTTTACTGGTGATCAGATTGCTGATGGTTTACGGGAAAGACTGTTGATGGTTTACTGGTGATCAGAGACTGTGATGGTTTAAATGGTGATCAGTGACTGCTGATGGTTTACTGGTGATCAGTGACTGTGATGGTTTACTGGTGATCAGTGACTGTTTATGGTTTACTGGTGATCAGAGACTGCTTTATGGTTTACTGGTGATCAGGACTGTTTATGGTTTACTGGTGACAGTGACTGTTGATGGTTTACTGGTGATCAGAGACTGTTGATGGTTTACTGGTGATCAGTGACTGTTGATGGTTTACTGGTGATCAGATTGCTGATGGTTTACTGGTGATCAGAGACTGTTGATGGTTTACTGGTGATCAGAGACTGTTGATGGTTTACTGGTGATCAGTGACTGCTGATGGTTTACTGGTGATCAGTGACTGTTGATGGTTTACTGGTGATCAGTGACTGTTGATGGTTTACTGGTGATCAGAGACTGCTGATGGTTTACTGGTGATCAGTGACTGTTGATGGTTTACTGGTGATCAGTGACTGTTGATGGTTTACTGGTGATCAGAGACTGTTGATGGTTTACTGGTGATCAGTGACTGTTGATGGTTTACTGGTGATCAGTGACTGTTGATGGTTTACTGGTGATCAGATTGCTGATGGTTTACTGGTGATCAGAGACTGTTGATGGTTTACTGGTGATCAGAGACTGCTGATGGTTTACTGGTGATCAGAGACTGCTGATGGTTTACTTGTGATAATTAAATAGCAGAAGTTTTAGAAGTTGTATTTTTGTTATATTATGAAACAAAAATAAAGACATTTATACTATAGTTTTGTTAGATGTACAAGAGATAAGTTTTAACTTTAAATGTTATTGTTAATAAATTAACGAGAAATATTTATGGAACTTTAGAGCTGTTTTATAGACGTATAGACTATATGGATTAGTAAGATAAATAACGACATGACTTAATAATATTTTAAGACAATATTTTGTGGTGCCATGTTACTGCTATTTTTTCCGAACCTCATATCAAAATGGGTGATAAGTAAGTGTCTTGTGTTTGTCCGTCCATCAATGTGTCTTCCAGTGTCACACATGTTCCTATGCTATATAATTCTGGGTGGTTCAAGTTCTACATAGAAGTTAATGACTTGCTAATCGCCTGAGGGGATGTATATGCGGCCTAGTGATAGTAGCAGCCGCCATACTGAAGTACCTGTATCCCTTACTTTACTGAGGCTTGAGCTCGCATCGAAATTCAAACTGAACTTGTGTAAGCTCAGCATTCTGTGAGGAAGTCGCTGCCGTAAGGCGTGCGGAG